GGGGATTCCCATGATGCATTTTTCCTGCTCTCACCCTTTCTCACTCATCACCTGTTTATACACCTCCCTGCATTTCATCATTAGTTATGATTCATATCTGTCTCTCTTCCTCAGCTTGTCTTTCTCTCCTCTCCTCTATCTGGTCGCCGCCCCTCCCTGAGCCTGGTTCTGCTGGAGGTTTCTTCCTGTTAAAAGGGAGTTCTTCCTTCACACAATTGCCAAAGCACTTGCTCATTAGGGGTCATCATCATTGTTGGAATTTTCTTTGATTTGTCTGTATTATTGATCGTGCCTTACAGAACAAAGCGCCTTGAGCCAACTGTTGTTATGATTTGGTGCTATATGAATAAAATTGAATTGGATTGAACTGAAATACATGTTGCAGTTATGTTCCTGCAGTTGAAAAGAGCTGATAATGACTAGACTTGGATAAGTACTTTGATTCTTAGAAGTGGCCCTGACAGTTTATTGTACTTTTAAATAAGGAGAAACAGGGTTTGTAGCCTCCTGCTCAGTGGGAATAAAACTGTCTCCCTGTTGTGCAGGATGGACGGTTGAGACCGGGAGATCAGCTCATTGCTATTAACAAGGAGTCCTTGATTGGTGTGACACATGAAGAGGCCAAAAGCATGCTAAACAAAGTGAAATTCAGGTGAGTGGTGTTCATGTTAGAAATGAATGTACCAAAGTAAGTCTAGTTTGGAACAATGAGCCAGTGTATACACAGTGCTACAGTATAAGCAGTTTTGATCTTAGTGTCTGTGTGTTTTTGGACATTGACATGATTTCTTTGTTATTTTTACTGTTTTCCAACACATATTAAGTTAGAGTCAGATAATGAATGTTTTCACAGTTTCAGTTTCAAGATATACCAAACAAAAGTACTGCAGTACCCACTGAAACAGAGTTATTCCTATACACAGGGTTGGACAGCTGACAGATGCAGGCAGGATAGATTTTCAAAGCTTCCTCATAAAGAAATAAGATCCAAGGTCTGGAACTGACTCCAAGTGTGACACCTGCAGTTGGAAGCACAGAGCATAAAGTCAAAAGACATCTCAGTACAATAGAATAGAATAGAATAGAATAGAATAGCCCTTTATTGTCATTGTACATATACAATGAAATTATGGGAAACCAGGCAGACAGTGAGCGCACATGATTCAGGATTTTGGCACATTCTGTGAAAAAAACAAAAAGTCATTTGTGAGATTGACATTATATGAAGGGATGAAATCCCTCCCCTTACACGGAAATCCATGTAAAAGGCTTTTTTTTTGCAAGAGTGGTGGCCTTTTACATCAAGCAGCTAGATAACAGCACTGCAGGACAGCTTCACAAACCAGTGATCAGAATAGCAAGGCCAGATTAGACTTAAGAAAAAGTCTCACGGTTTTGGACACATTGTAAAGAGGATGGTGGATACTATGATGAGTATAAGTGTAAAACATTGTCTGTAAAAGACATAAAGCAGTGTGATGGCATGGATATACACTCTCTCCAGTTCACTGGGTTACATGTAGATCATTAAAATCAGTTCAAACTGAGAAAAGCTCATATCACTCTCTTAGGATTAACAGTTTTTCTTGTAACAGTTTAAGCTAATAACTTATAATACTTAAATAAATAAAGTTGTGCAGAAACCTTCATACTGTGGAAACATTATCTTCTACAGCATCTTCGATCCTGGGTTGGAAAAAGCAACCTGATTTAAGCTTTGTTAAAGACTGCAACCAAATGACTTTTACACAAACTGCCATAGACCCACCTGTAAATACAGTGTCAAAGCTGATACTACACTTCAAGCCCAAAGTTGAATGTGTTTTTGTAAATGGGTAAACAAAATGTCCCACATATATAGACCACGCTTTGTGTGCCAACACTGATCACATGCTTATGTGTTTGTCTCTAGCCAAGATACTGCTGTGGACATAGCCTTCATCCCGGGTAAAGGACTTTTTCCCAGCAGCACGTCTCTTCACAATGGGCTCCAGCGAGCCTCGGGCAACAGCTACAACTCTGGACGCTTAAAAGTCCACATCCGATCACCCGAGGTCAGCTCCACCACATACACGGCTCCTACAGGTCATTCATAGAAGAAGTGGCCTGTTATTCTCACAGCAAACCAGAAGTTGCAGAAGAAGCAGGATTTCCATGTAAAAGAAAGATTAGAGTTGTATCTTCTGTACCTATATCAGCACACCGACTGCAGGATAAAAGAAACAACCTGACTGAGCTCTGGGAAACAGAGTTACTGTTGCTATTTATCCTCATTCAAAAACACAAAAAACACCAGGTGTCCTTAAATGTGTCAGCTGGCTGAGTCGATTATGTTGTTTCAAAAATTGCAGGTTAAGACTACATTTATTCTTTGAGCTAAAGTCTCGTATTGTACTAATGTCGTCAAAAAAATGCTAAAAGATCAACCAAATAACTTTGAAAAGGCCGCTGTACTTTGGTATAACTGAGGAATAAACATAGTCCAATAAACACACTGATTAATGAACCGTTATTGACTAAAGAGTAGTTGTACTTCCCACAGTATATAGCATGTTACATAAGGTGGGTCAACATCAGAGTGATTTTACAAAGTGAAACTGTAGCCAGTTCAAACTCTCTGACATGTAAAATGTTGAATTAAATAATTATGATTTTTAACCTCCTAGGACCTGCGTCCACATATGTGGACATCACATTTTGGGTTATTTAGACCAAAATACTCAATTTTGCTCGGCAAGGGCCTGATATCCACTTACGAGGACATTATGCTGCTACTGTTCTATCACAATTGTAAACGAATATCCTCAGATGTGGCCCTGATTTTTCTTAAAAGCAAAAATGAGGTAAAAAAAAAATCTGGTAATTCTTTATTTTTACATTCATTGGGCCCCAGTATGCCCAAATATCAAAGAGAAATTAAAATGCATGCCATGAAAGAGTTCGGGTCTTAGAAGGTTAAAGAAAGTTGGAAGAAATTCATTTCTTTACTTTCTCATTTATAGAGTTTGGTCCACAGTTACCACAAAGAACTTAGAACTGTTGTGTTTAATGTCAATATAGAGACAGACAGAACTGGAGCTAGACCATTGCATCATCTAGCTTCAGTCCCAGTTCTGCTACTACCAACTACTAAATATAATAAATCTAATAAGGGAAAGACCATCTCTGAATCGAGGAGGGGCCTAAGGGTCTATCTGTCACCATCTTACAATGATGTGATTGCAGCCATTCACCAACTCTCCGTGAATGGGACTCATGGCCATTGATCAGCAGTCATGACAATTTACATATGAATGATCAAAGAACTGACCTCCCAGCCCATTGTTCCTTCAGTGGGCTGGTGTCAGTCATCATGCAAATGTCCTGTTTATAAGATTGAAACCTGCAGTCAGCTGAGACTGAAGACGTCACCTGGATGAAACGTTTCTCCCACTGAAAACACTACGTCTAGATGAACAGGATCCACCTTTGGGACAGCGAAATTATTAGCTACACTAATAAACTCATTGGTCATTAGTATTGGAATTCTATTTAACTATTTTCCTTGTGTTATTGGTGTAGATCTGTGCAGAGGAGCCAGCCCCACCTTCCTCACCTTCTCCTGACATCTGTCCTCCAGATATTCATGTTTCAGGTGAGACCTCTGTGTTTGCACTCAGACTACAGTGCTGTAATGATGAAATGGTGACTCATATTAGTGCACTTCAGTCACCACAGTTCAGCTGAACATCTGTCTCAGTCCTGAAGTAAAGCCAGAGAAGTGGAGACTGGATCTCAGATCAGTGAGGCTGTACTGATGCATGCGGTGGCTCAGCATGTTACATAGAAACATTTAGATAACACAGATAAGAGCAGTCTTTAAGTGAATGGACGTTTTCACAGTTCATATTCATTTCAACATATTTTTGGCTCGCGTTATGTCTGCTGTTCTTTATTTCTGGAGCAACAAATGCCTCTCAGCAGAACATCACTTTGCCAAAGGAGACTGAAAACGATCTGAAGCAGTCCAGTTGTCGTCATACTGAAGGACTGCTTCAGACCAGCAGCTGTAGTGTCATAGGGCTGCTCGTGGCTCTCGGCCGAAAGCCACTGGACAGCCTTTCCCAATCCAATTGGCTGGGATTACCCAGCCAAGGTTATTTTCTAGGTACTCTAATCATTTCACTCCCTGCCAGCCTCTAAGCCAGTTGCTAGCTGTGACAGATGTCAGCACTTTGTAGTGAGGTGAGCGCACACACAGAAACAGATTTTTATTATATTACAAAATATAATGTTCCAGAATTATGATCCAGGTTAAATATGGTTCACTGTGACAACATTTCAGATAAATACTCCTCTTAAATCAGTTGATCTACAAAATGACTCCACACTATGAAGACAATGTAAAACAGTAACATGAGTGTAAACAGAGTTTAAAGTCAGAAGAGCAGAGCAGCCATACAAATCTGGGACAGAAAAACGCATCATATGAATGGCTGGCTGCTCCCTCCCCTCGCGTCTACATAATCATCCACTTTTCTTCAGTTCCTCTCTTTTTAATCATCTGCTTTTCCCTGTACCATCGCTCACAGTCACAAAGACCTGCTTTAAACCAGCAACAACGACATCAGGTTGTCTATTCAACTCTGATATGACAGATTATATAACGATATTTCTCCTGCTGTTCCTCACTCCTAATTACACTTTCAGTATTCTGTTAAGAGGCCAGTGCAGGGGTCAGCAACCTTTAACACCCAAAGAGCCATTTGGACCCAGTTTCCACGGAAAAGCAAACGCTGGGAGCCGCAAATACTTTCTGACATCTAAAATGAAGATAACACTGTTATTGTTTTTTACCTTTATGCTTTGTATAGACAACTAAGGTGTGTTGCTTATGAAATCCATGAAGCGCTACAGAGAAAATTACATTTTATTTATGTAATAAACACACTTTGAACTCTTAAAAAATACAACAAAAAGGAGATGCACCCAGGTGAAGGTCTCTTTTAAATGAATTAAAAAGCTGAACTTAAATGATTCATATAGCAAACGAAAACTGTAGTGAGGCGTCATCCTTATATCACCTTTGGGATTTCGCAGCCTGTAGCGCAGCCTTAACCTGAATTTTAAGAATATTTGGAGAAAAGCTCTATGCTGCTAAAAAATGAAAAATAGATATTTGCAAAATATCTGGATAAATATGTATTTTACCTGGTTAATGTGTGTGTCGGGCTGTGAGCTGCAAAGCTACAGCCGGCTGTGTGGCTACAGCAACCCTGTGTGAAAAGTGGTCATTGAAGAAAAAAGCATGTTCATGGAAACATCGTCGGGTCTGCCGTGATATGTTTACAACGGGACTTCTGCTCCTGAACCTCTGCGCACAGCGTCTGCAGATCGGGGCTGTACGAAGTCACTTTCATCTTTACGCAGGACTGTAAGCTGTCGTCTGTGAGGCGTGAGCGTGTTTGTTGTTACCATAGTTCATGGAGGAGAACAGCTGCTCACATACGTATGTGGATGCATGAGGATCCATACTTGGCCTGCCTGGGTTGAAAGTCTCGACAAACACACAGCATTTCGGCTGGTATGGTTTATGTGAATGTGATGCTTATTGTGAGAGATGAAAAATAACATCATTTTATTTTTATGTTTCAAGATCACAATAATCTTCCAATTTAGAAGTACAAGTTAAAAACGAACTAACACAAATAAAATACACTTCAGTTAAATACTTTGTTTTCCAAACCACGTGGAGCCGCAGAGCTAAAGAGCGCAGGTTGCCGACCCCTGAGCTAGTGCTTCCTTGTTCTATGTACCACACATCTGTGTGTATATACGCAGTCTACTTAAGAAAGGATTTTTTTAAACAACCCAAACTTCTGGTTTCGTTTTTTTTCTTTTAACCAAAGTCAGTCCTGATTTTCTTTTCTTCATTTTCTTTCTCCAGGTTCAACCAGCCAGAGATCCCCGACAGGAGCAAAACCTAAGATAACCCTGGACCCTTACATTCGCCTCAAATCAGACAAATTAGACTTGGTGAGTCCTGACCTGCTCGGGTAGGCTTCTTTAGACCTATGCTGCCTGATACACAGTTAAGTGGACACTCATACTAAAGAAATCACACAGATTATGTGAGAGCGACGACACGTGTGAAGGCATATATGGTTGGTGGTTGAAAGGTGTATGTTGTTGAAGTCAGAAACTGGATCGAGGTTTGTGGGTGATCCTGGTCGACAGTGTTGAATACCTACCAGCAGGTATGTGAGAAACGAACTAGGAAGTGATGTCAGCTTCCTGGAAAATTCCCTTATGAGTCTGATTTGCAGCAGCTCAGGGCTGAGACGCTAAGCGTTGCATGCAGAAACACCACCGTGGCAGGATGTGGTGGACCGAGGTCGTTTTGGTCCTTTAAGCGATTGGCTGCTAGAGAGGCACTTTTTACGTGACCTGCCGCTTGTGGCTGAGTTGCCGTCTATCCCAATTGTTCCCCTCTGTGTAATACCACTAAGAGTTGATTGTGGAATATTTAGTAGTGAGGAAATGATTGCAGACAGCATCCTATCATGGAAGCACGCTGGGATTCACTGAGCTCTGAGAGCGACCCGGGATTGTACACACCTGGGCCATGGAAGTGATCGGAGCACCTGGATAATGGATGATTTGGATGGATTAGTGTGCACTAATGTCCCCCACTTGCCCTCTGGGTGCTCTTTATCCTTCATGCTTGGGCCCTCTACCAAAGGCCTGAGAGTCTGAGTCTGCGCTCCTCTCTGCAGAGATGTCGTTCCTGGATCTGCTGGAGCCACTCGCCTAGTTTAAGAGTCACTGCTCCAAGTGCTCTGATTACCACAGGGACCACCGTTAACCACGGCATCACCTTTCTCATCTTCTGTAGTTGCTCTCTCAGTGAGCTTCATGTGTTTCTCTTCCTGATTTTGGTATTACTCAGTATAGCTCCCAACCACTCTGCACCTTTTCCTATGTTATTTCGCCTTTTCACTGCTTCTTCCTGCAGTGCACTCATCACATTAGAGACACAGTTTAAACACTGGCAACATTCTGTCCTGATTTGTTGGCACTGCAAAGGAAAACGAACAGGCAGTGTACAAAACTCTATCGAAAACAAAGGAGTTACACACGTGTTGAACAGAGCAGTGTCTGCTTTATGACTGCGGTGAATTTGCTAATTAAAGAACTCTATAATCGATTTATGAAAAACACATTACTCAAAGTGTATGTAGGCAGTTTTTGTACTTTCTTCTACTGCATCCTGTCCTGGTAGCTCAGGTGTATCAGTATGTCTCCTAGACAAGCGTCCTCTTTGCAGATGCTTTGTGAAGTAACTTTAGGCTAATATTTGTAATGAAATATAATTTTACTTGGAGAACAAAGTGTGATATGCAGAGTGCAGTTTGATGACAGCATACAATGCTTCATGCTTCATGCTCCTGTCTCTCTTAGGCCTTGTCCTTCCTTGGTTTGGATGTCACAGAAGAGAAGAAGAAGCAGCTGCGACAGAGTCTGACCACAGACCCACAAGGCACCGTGGCCTATGGAGGTGACGTGCATGCAAGCAGCACACGTACACTCACTGATATGAGCCGCACACATTTGTAGTCGTGTCAGCTGTTGGGTGGAAGATCTGTGCTGAGGTCCTGTCAAATCATGTGACAGCAGCATGTTTCTTATTGGCTGTGTCACTTGTGTAAAATGTCAGATTGTGTAACCAGCTGTGACTACATGTTTCCAGTCGTTTGGAGGGCCCGCGTTTACATCGTAGGGCTAAATTCACCTGCGTGTACCTGTTAATGCTCACTGACAGAAGGGAGGGATGATAAAGGGTGTGCATGATATTAAACTGTACAGGCAGCTTAGTCTTTAGACTGCAGGTCAAACATGAGATCCCATCCTGACACATGCCTCCATGCCACCAAGCTTCCAGGATGCTTTTCTGTGACAAAGCAGTTGCTGTAATGCTGATGACAGCCGCACAGTTTGAGTGTGTAGGGTCCTATAGGTGAGCTGAGGAACATGAATGCTGCAGTGATGAGTCACCTGACAGACAGGTTGTTCAGCGTCTCGAAGAACAGATCAGGTCTGTTGCCTTTTCATGTAACTCTGTGATGCTGAGGAGCGTACGACAAAGTAATGGATTAAAGATGTATGTTACACCTAAAGTCAGTTTTCAGTGTGACAAAGAAGCTTTTTAACCTCGCCACACAACTGTAGTAACTGCCGCAGGTGATATTCAGATGCACACTGATGCACACTGCTGAGCTATACCTCAGAAATACCCCTGAATAAAGCTATGCAGCCATGTCATAGCAGTGCAGTGTCTGTCCTGTACAGTCAAAGAGAAGATGCAGAAAGTGCATAAATGTGTTTCTGCCGTGTCTGGCTTCTGGAGCGTTGACCCAGCTGAGGGTCTTTGGATATTTGGGCTCGCTGTTGTTGTCAGTGCTTTTCTTTTATGCTTTTGTGACACACACTAATCCCAAAATGTAAAGGAACACTTTTTAATCAGAGTATAGCATCAACAGTTTAACCTTTGGGATGTTGCAGTTGTTCATCAGTTTGAGCTGCTTTGGTATCGTTGACATTAACAACAGGTCCACTAGAGGGGCGACAGTAGTGACTTTACAGATGAAGGTCGCTGACATTTTTCTCTCCTCATCTTTTCTGACTGTTTTTTCACTAGTGTCGCATTAGGCTAGACTCAGTGTTACTACTGGTAGCATGAGGTGATACGCCAAGATGGCACATCAATATGTGCTGTTTCCAGAACGTTTCTTAAGAGCGTGGAGGAGATTCCAGGAGACAGGAGATTACTCGAGGAGAGCTGGACATGCATAAGCCATGAGCAGGACCAGCATCTGCTCCTTCGTGCAAGGAGGAACATGATGAGCACTGTCAGAGCTACAAAATAACCTGCAGCAGGCCGCTGGTGTGAATGCATCCTAAGGAGAGTGGTCAGAGGGCTGGATGTCCTCTAGTGGGTGCTGTGCACACTGTACGGTACCATGGAGCCCAACTGGCATTTATCACAAAATACCAGGAGTGGCAGGTCCACCACTGGTGTCCCACGGTTTTAACAGATGAGTGCAGGTTCACCCTGAGCCATGTGACAGACGTGAAAGGGTCCAGAGCCTGTAACGCTGTTGGAGCCAGTCTATAATTTCATATACAGTAAGGTGTGTGTGTCTGTGTGTGTCTCTCTGTATGGGGACCCAAATGCCAGTCCCCACAGTGCTGAAGGCTCAAAATGTGGTTTCAGTGTCAGGGTTACAATGAGGTTATGGGTAGGGTCAGGGTCAGGCATTCATTGATGGTTAGGGTAAGCAGCTAGCATTATGTCAATGAGATGTCCCCAGAAGGACGTGTGTGTGTGTGTGTGTGTGTGTGTGTGTGTGTGTGTGTGTGTGTGTACATGTGTGTGTACATGACCCTGATTGTTTGCTTTTCCTTGTTTTTCTGTTAAAACAATGAATCCCATCTGTTTTGGTGTGATGGCTCAGACTTTGTGGAGGCCACCCGGAACATCTTCCAGGAGAACCTGGAGGAGCTGGGCTTGGAGACGGGTCCCTTCACATTCTCCTACCATGAAGCAGCTAGTCTGATGGATACCTCAGCCTTCCACTCACCTGTAAGCAGCTCTCACAACCTCTCATATAGACACAAAACAGCAGACTCTGTAATTAATTAAGACTCAAGAAGTTTATTGTATGATGTTACCCAGCCTGAAACCAAATACTGTTTCTCACCAGCCTCTACAGTGCAAGAAGCAATACAGTTTAAAAGAATGAGTTTTAAAAAGAGCAGCAAAAAAGGCATAAATAGCATAAAATCTAAGTTTTAAAACAAACTCCAGTCACAATTAATCTAATATTTTAAAATTGCCACCCAGAAATGAAGGACTAACTGTGTGTGTGTGTGCTTGTGTGTACTTGTGCGTGTGTGTGTGCATGCGTGTGTGTGTGTGCGTGTGTGTGCATCTACAGACATATGAATCAGAGTGCAGCTACAGCAGTGAGGAGATGGAGCAGTTTCAGACTGAGGTGAAGCAGCTGCAGACGCAGATGAAACAGCTCAAGGTGAAAACACACCTTTGTTTTTCCCTCTTTGGTTAGTGGTGAGGACTTCCAGCTGCTATGTTTTCTCTTAGTAGCTTTACTTTTCTTTGACTGTGTCTCCCTCTGTCCCACAGTGTCTTTTATTATGTCTACTGTCTTGTTTCGTATCTGTCCTGTGGTCTTTACTAAGAATGAAGTCCAACACACTCAGGCTAATTTACCTTAGCTGGCTCGACAAACCCGAAGCCCCAGTTAGAGATGATGAGTATCATGATGATGGTCAGGAGCTGTCTCTGTTAAACTGGGCGTCACACTCTGAGCACACTCACGTAAAATGATGCCCATGATCGGCACCTACACGTGTCACAGTGTATCGATAAAATGGTGACAAAATTATTCAAATTTACAGTGAAATGTATCACTGTGAGTAAGAGCACAGACGATTGCTGCATTGTCCTGGTGGTTTTCTGGCACAGAGCTGTAACAAACATTTTAACTCCAGTGGTGTCGTCGCTGAGTGCGCTCTCAGTGCTCCTGTTTATTATGGCTGCACATTGCAGTTCCTTGGAGGACAGGACCAGCTTCACACCGATCAGACCTGCACACTGTTAGACCTCTGCCTCACCACTGCACAGATAGAGCTGGGTGTCATCTGCATAGCAGTGTAAAGGCAAGCTTGTATAATGTAAGAGAACTGGCACTAGCATTTCAGCTGCATTAGTCACAGAGTTAGAACGATGGAACAAATGGATTTTATTCTGAGCTGATAATAAATGAGTGACATAATTACTGTCGTTGTTCTTATATACTGATGACCGAATGACTGCAAAAGCACTCAGGTTAACTGTTTCTAGTGTTTCTAAAAATCTGCAGTTGAATTCGCTCCGTGCTCTGACAGCCACTTTGGAGAATAAACAGGATGGGAGGAGTCGGAGGAAAGTTCAGGAAACACGAGTTTTCCTCGTCTCAGAGTTGACTCGGCATGGCTAGCTAAACCTGCTTCCTTCAACAGTGCCCAGAAATATGGTTTAATAGGCACATTTACACTCTTAGTCTCAGTCATCTCTTTGTATCATAGGCTAGGGCTGGAGCGGGCGTTTTGGTGGCATTTCTTTGGCTACCAAGTGAAGTAGTGAGAATACGTTTTGCAGTTTAAAACTAAACACACAGAATCCTGTTTCCACACTTAGCCAACAAACACACACTCAGTGGGAAAACCACAGACGAAGCCTAACGTCCCATCCTCACCAAGATTTAGCTGCTTTTTCTCCTCACAGTTGTGTGTCTGTCCTCTGAATGGAAAGGTGGGGTCTTTAACAGTCATACAGGAAGCTGCCACTTCATCTGCTGCCTCTCTTGGCAGGTGATGCTGAAGGACATGGAACACAGCAAGAAAACCCTTGAGGAGGAGTTGCAGAAGACCTCAGAGGTCAGAGGCCAGCCTGCAGCCTGTGGAGACGCGCAGTCTCAAGTTACATCTTTATAACTGTGGGATATGAGCGTGGGGTCAAAGTTGAATGGAAATTATTTTTGTAGTGAAACTAATCAAACTGAGTCTGCTGATAATGCCGGCTGTTTTTTAGTTGATGAATGATTAGAAATGGTGTTGTTGTGCAGCTTCTCGATGTCGTAGGACAGTTTAAGTATGAGAACCAAGAATGTAAAGATTTCTCAGCTGGTAAAATAAAATTGCTAATAACATATTCATATGATCATCCTGTTGTATTTAGCAATGTAAAATACGTCTCACTGGCAGCTGAATCATCTGAAAACATGGACGAAGACTGAAGGCAGCGAGTGAATCCTTCTGTCATTTCTCCTAGAAAGCCTGTCTGACTGTAGAGGAGAACACTCGCCTGAAGAGTCGTCTGCAGGCGTCTGAGGCGGTGCATCGGCAGGCCGGCAGTGCTGAGCAGGACTATGAAGAAGTCATCCAGCTGCTGGAGGCTGAGATCAGAGACCTGAAGAGCCAGCTGGCCACCAAGAAGCAGAGACGGGGAGCAGAGTCCATGCAGGTACAATGATGTCAGAGTCGTGGCCTACAGCCTTGTTCAGGGCCACTGACAGGAGAGCCAGAAAACCTCATTTCAGCCTTGAAATTTGGGGAAACATCTGTCTGAACATCTGTCTGTATTTTTAAATGCATCTTCACAGTACTCTACATCTTACACATCCAATATGTTCAGGCATTAGGTCAAAGGTCATTGTACTGTATAGTGATACATGATGCACTCATGCACCCAAAGAGTTGTCTACGTGACACACGTACACAAGCTGAGTGTGCTGGTGTGTGTTTGTCAGGAGGAGGTGGGCGAGCTGAAGAGGAGGCTGACGACTATCGACTGCCAGCTGAAGAAGTCCGAGCTGAGCAGGAAAACTCTGGAGATCTCCAACAAGAAACTGCTAGGCTTTGCTCAGGTACCGCTCTGACTGGTGTTCCTTTGGCTGCACACAGAGCTGTGAACAGGCAGGAAGCAGACTGAGTCCACTCTGTATACCAGAGTGTTGTATTGGTCTCACAGCTAAACCTCGGTCCGAACTGGGACAGGACAGCGATCTGAAGCTGTTAACATTGCTTCTTATTCTCAAAGTGTTATCATAGCTTTCTACAGTTGTTTTGCACAACACACACACTCAAATGGTAAATGGCCTGTATTTATATAGCGCTTTACTAGTCCCTAAGGACCCCAAAACGCTTTACATATTCAGTCATCCACACATTCACACACTGGTGATGGCAGCTACATTGTAGCCACAGCCACCCTGGGGCGCACTGACAGAGGCGAGGCTGCCGGACACTGGCGCCACCGGGCCCTCTGACCACCACCAGTAGGCAACGGGTGAAGTGTCCTGCCCAAGGACACAACGACCGAGACTGTCGGAGCCGGGGCTCGAACCGGCAACCTTCCGATTACAAGGCGAACTCCCAACTCTTGAGCCACGATCGCTCAATTCAGCCTTAAGTATTAATAAAAATACAAATTCTACAGAGTGTTAATGTGGGGAATATAATCTTATACTGATAAGAACTCAGTTATCAAAGCTGAAGACCGTGTATCTCTAAAATAGAAGCTTTTAACAGGTTCAGGAAAAAGTGCATAAAAATATATGAATAAAAACTGAAACAGCTGAATGAAAGGCTTGAGCGCTGCGTGACGTGGTTAACTGTCAGCATCTACAAAGAGATTCAATATTGTTGAAAAGTGAAGGTGGTGAAGCAGCAAAACAGCTCGCTACACAACTGTAGTCACTGAAGCAGGTGATAGTGTAATCACCACACTCTCGCTGGTTATTTTTCCAACAACTTGTTATAAGAGATGCACACACTTTGATGGAGAGGGGAGCTGACGTCCCCTCTCCATCAAAGCCTTTCTTTGCTAATGTGCTAAAGCTGTTAAATATCCCACGTTAGGGGGAAGACGATCAATAACTGAGCATCCACACAAAACTGCAGAATGGTCTCAGACGTCTGTTCTTCTGATTGTCAAACAAACACACGTTAGCTTCCGTGATTATAAGGATGCAGTTTGTGCCATCTTTCCCTTTAGTTGTGGTTAATCAACAAGAGTGATGTGCTCGCCACCTGTTTGTATTTCCTGGTCTTCCCTGCAGACACACACACATACAGACTGAAGGTTGTTTGGCAACAATGCTATTAGTAACTGAGTGCCAGTACAGAAATGATGTCGTCATTCAAACTTATTAACAGCTCAGTGTTTCCCCCAGGACAACATTCAAGTGTAAATGTCAGAGAAAAACACATTATGGGACCCATGTCAGCCACTATGCATGTGATGGTTTATTTTGCAGTTAAGACTATTTAAGCGAACCTGTAGATTTATTAGATGAAGTAGGAAAATGCATAGAGCAGTACATAACTGTTGCATTATTTGACCAAAGGCTTGTGCGGCAGATGATGTGGAGGCTGCATGTGCAGCTCTGAGATTTCCAGCTCTGGTCTTTAAATCTAGTGACAGGAAAATAAGCTGATGGAGTCAGTCTGCCCCCAGTGATGGAAGTGTGCTACAGCTCTGTCCACAGCCATAAACCAGCTGCTGCACAGGCTGTTCCACCAACATCTGTCCTAGGAGAATTGGCTGTGGGTGGATGTTTCCAACATTGATTCTGTTCTGAGCTGATCTCCTCATATCCATCAGTGCCGTCAGTGATGGTGGAAGGATGCAAGGTGCAGGAACCAGTCAGACACAGGGGTGTGCACAAAGCCATCAGCATAGAAACCAGTTTGAAAAACACAACGAGGGGAAGGTGCAGCCTGTGGCTGATAACACTAATAACTGACGAGGTCCAGCAATCAAGCTCTTCTCTCTGGTTCGCTGACAGCACAGAGAGACCCGGTGTGTGTTACTGCTGCCAGCGCTCGGCCTTACGGCTGTCACATTATCTCTCTTTACAGAACGTCCACAAAGTGCTGACCACGCCCAGCCTATTTGGAGAAGGGGGGTAAGAGAGCGCGACCTTCACCTTACAAGCGCCTTACAGCTTTGCAGTCGAGTTCCTGCTCCAACTGTCCTTCTGCTTGTGTGTCTGTCTATATCAGGAGTAACCGGTCATCTCCTGCCACGGAAAGCCCCGACATCCCATCACCAATTCCTGACCCAGCCTTCCAGCTGGCTGTGGAAGCCAAAGAGCTGGTGGAGGGGGTGTGTACGCTCACAACTGATAAAGGTACAGAGCTCACTAACCCAGAATAAAAAGCCTGAACACTGTGTGCATACACTACGTGGAAACACCATGTTTGGAAGGAAGGACAAAGGTTCAAACTGCAAACACTTTCAGATAATGTGATGAAAATTAGTTTTCTTTTGCCACGGCTTAAGAATTGATGAACTAATTATGAGCCATCCTTTAGCAAGAACTCTGCTATAATGGCGTCAGTATAAAATATATACAAAGTCTTTAGTGCCAAATTACTCCACACGCTTCACCTCATACAGTATAACAGACGTGGATGTAACCTGCAGCCTCAAGGCAGTGATATATTAAAGCAGCCAGTGTGCAACCACTGCTGTCCATCGTTCTGCAGCAGATCTGAAGTGGAGCAATGAAACATGGATAATATCTCATCCTTACTCATCAGGCCGATCCGCTGAAGTTCCTTTTTCACAAAGGTAGAGAAAGCAGGGTCCCAGGACATAAAGTGGTGACGATGATTAAAAGCTGTTTCTTTAGAAGCTGAAACTGTTCTGGCTTCATGTTCAGTTCTTTTTAAATACAGCTGAGATTGAAATCCAAGCTGTGACCAAAGCAACACTGTTTCAAATGAGTTACTTTGTGTGTAAGTTTTCAAAAACACTGCTTTGAGGCTTACCTGTGACAGAAGCATCGCAGCACGGGTCAAAGGGAAGCAACAGCTTGTGATTCAGACCTGCAGTGACAGTGTGAGCCACTAGCTGCTGCCCTCACTGCTCACAGCTGAACCAAAGACCTGGTATTTTCCCTACCTCTATTTGTGTTTGCTTTATCCAAAGGGTTGTCTTTCCCGCTCGCAGCAGGCACCGCTGCCTCCTATTACCATACTGCTATGGACTCAAGTCTTTCTGTCCACCTCTTCTACAGAACCGGTGAGTGCAGATGCAGCATCAGCTCCAGATGTCAGTCCTCATCATGTGTGAACAGCACCAAGCCAAAGAGGACTGAGTCCAGACCTGGGCCGGGCAGAAGACCCCCAACGAGCAGCTGACCTCGCCATGCACTTCACCACAGTCCGCAGCAAACACACCATTCTACGACAGGACACGACGACAGCAACAGTTAAACCCTCACTGGGACAGACTGACCACGTTTTAATGCCAAAGCCTGTTTGTGCACATGAAATTAGTATATTCCCTCCAATTACTCCAAATGCTACTCACAGGGCTCAGCAGTGGGATCTGCTGATTCAGTCTCATGCTGTCAGCAGCACATCACATGTACAGAGGTCTCTGTGAGAAGTGCTGCTGCAATTCTCTAGTGTGTTACTCTTACAGCAGGTGGTACAGGTGGAGCTGCATGACCAAGTCCTCCACACACTCCCACAGTGTCACTGCTGTAAACCTTGTTAATACTCTTGCCAACCTCTTTTCTATCCTCACAAACACAAACTCATCTCCACTCCGTAAAAGGAGGACTTGTTACTTGGAAAGCTGATGTGTACAGTGTGTCCCCCTGTGTCAGAAACTCCATGACAAATTAGCTCGTCTGCTCTAACACAACATCTGCCATGCTTCCTTCCCTCGCGCCCTTACTCACACTGTCATGGAAGACAAGAAATGAAGGTTTGAAGGTGCAGCGTGGATCATCTTCATCTCATTGCCTGGTTCATGTTGATGTGTCTCCTGCGTTCAGGAGTAGTGTACCTGTTGCTGTAGCTCCAGCTGTGTAAAACTGTGTTTGGTATTCTGTGTAGGCAGACCTCAGTCTTAGGCTACATGTTGAACATAGATTTGATTTCTACAGACATCTACAACTGCAGTGACAATAATGACATGTCCTTCAACCAGATTGCATCTTTGGTGTGGCCTCATTCTTTCTGTTACTGTTTTATATTAAAGGAATAACTGATGACCGGACTGGTGTCGAGTTCGACTTTTGTTCAGCATCCAACAAACAGTGCTGCTCACAGGGGGCGATTTCACCACAACTGCTTCCCACAGAAGCCCCTCAAAAAGCAGGAAACCAGAGCTGCTCACAGTTTGTGCACGAGGGTGTTCAGGAAGCAGATACTGACTAATGACGTGACGTTCTAGGGTCATGTGTGGAAATCGTGGTTGCAAATGAGGGGGCTGTCTTGATCTCTGGCTCCTCCTGCAGGCATTTCTAGTTATATTGATGAGTTACCCCTGGGAAGATAAACTAAACACAAACACACAGCACTGTGCTTTCAGTGTGAATCATTTACTTTCATCAATCAACAAAATGCAGTGAATGAACGAAAGAGAAATCGCATCAGTGTTTGGTGCAACCACCCTTTGCCTTCTTCTAGGTGCACGTGCACACAGTTTTTACTCGGCTGGTAGTTTGCTCCAAACATCTCGGAGAACTAAGCACAGATCTTCTTTTGCACAGTGCTGTATGTGCGGATGTTAAGTTAAAAGTACTTGAGCATAGGGGAAAAAGTGTTTATATGAATGAGGCTAGTTGTAAAAAAAGTACTCAAAGAAGTCAAACTGAGTGGAAAGGGAGTCCATCTACCATTTAAACCCTCACAGGAAGTCACTGTGGGGCACTTACACAGCACCAGAGACATGTGAGGCAATGACCCAGTGTGTGTCGTTTTGCTTCTTTACTGTCATGTGAAAGGAAAGGACCCAAAAATACACAGAGGGAGCAATCAGGGCTGACGACACAAAGGAAGCAAAACCAGACGCACTAACATGAGACACGGACTTTCAAAGTAAAACAGGAAACACAGACTGAACAAAGACACAGACTCACAAGCAGGCACTGCAACAGAGGGAACAGAGACGTGGGACCAGGGCGGACACAGACACTGACTGGACACAGAATAGAGGGAGTATGGAAACCAGAACCTGAGAACAACATAAACACCAAGAAGAGCTGGGGAAAACTAGAAATGCAAAACAGAAACCAGAACCTTCACAAAAATAAACCAAGAGAACACAAATAAAGGGTACAAAACAGAAACCACTGGGTCAACGACCCAGGAAACCTAACATTTACATATTCACAGTGGATTTCACATCAAACAAGATGCGACTGAAAGTAACCAGGACAGGTCCCCACCTTATTCCATGACAACCTGAGCCCCATAAAAACAGTAAGTGCTCATGTCCATATCACTGATTCAATGATACAATTCGCTGTATCAGGGTGTTGTCCTTCAGCAGAGCCCACTGCCATCAGTATAGAAATCTTCCTTCAAGGGATGTTGCTAGGATCAATATTGGGCCTTAACCATGAAATCTTTGGACTGTTCACTGAAGTTGTTTATTATTGTTATAGTAAAGGATTAGCTCAAGAACAGTGCATAGAGAGCTTCGTGGAATGGGTTTCCATTGCTGAGCTGCTGCATCCACGACTTACATCACCCAGCGTACTGCAAAGTGTGTGTGCTGTAAAGCACCACCCCACTGCATTATACAGCAGTGCAGACGTGCTCTCTGCAGTGACCGGTCTGGGTTTGGTGGTTACCAGGAGACTGTGCTTATCATACTGCATTGTGCGAACTGTTAACTTTGGTGAATGAGGAATTCTGATGTGATGTTTTGTTTCAGGCGTGGGCTCGCCCCCTTAGTTTCAGTGAAAGGAACTCTTCAGCATGCCAAGACATTTTGGACAATTTCATGCTCATGATTTGTGGGAACAGTTTGGGAATCACTCCTTCCTGCTACAACATAACTACACACAAGTGCACAAAGCACTTCTATTAAGACATCAATGAGTGAGTTTGGACATGACCGGCTCTCACAGAGTCCTGACAGAACACCCTTGGGATCATTTAGTGCTAACTAGGCCTCCTCATCTAACATCAGAGTCTGACCTCACACATGTGCTTCTGGGAAAAAGATCAGAAACACACACAAACACACTCCTAAATCTTGTGGAAAGTCTTCCGATAAGAGTTGAAGCTGGTATAGCTGCAAAGGTTGGGCCAACGTCCTGTTAAACCCTGATGTCACTCAGGTTTGTGTGTGTGAAGGAAGAAGAGCGAACACTTTTGGCATTGTAGTCAGTGTTGGGAAAGTTACTTTTAAAATGTATTCCACTACAGATTACAGATTACATGCCCCAAAATGTATTCTGTAACGTATTCCGTTACGTTACTCAATGACAGTAACGTATTCTGAATACTTTGGATTACTTAATATATTATCATGCTGTTTACAGCTACATGAATGTACTATTCATGTGATTTATTACTGTTACTGAAGGTCTGCGGCTCCGAACCGTAGTAAAGGGACCTCTGGCTAATACGTCGGGTTCGTGTCGGCTCGTAGCTGAAAACTAGCTTTACTTTGTTGTCTGGGTCAACTTTGCTAGCGAGAGACAGAGAGGCGTTGAAAGGCTGCTCCAACAGAACTTATTGTTTCGGAGGAAAACACGAACACAGCGTACAGTCGAGTCTTAATAGTGTACTTACTCTTCTTGGCTGCAGTGGTTATTATTATATTTACATGCTGCTCAAGTATATGTATAGTAAGCACTTTAGTATTTCGGTTTATTATTTAGTGTGTTTCTTCCACCATGTGACATTTAGCAGTACAGAATGTGGTTTCTGCTCATTTTCACTGCAATAAACGACTGCATGAGAGACGCAAGTCATAATCACTCTCGTGATTCTTTTCTCCTGTTTTCAGGGGTGTAACAAACGTAGCTGTCAAACAAAACCAAACAGTCCTGACCCGCCACAATATGAAACAGGAAAATGCTGCCATGTAATCCATTTATTTCAACAAAGTAACTGTATTCTAAATACCAGCTTTTTAAACGGTAACTGTAACGGAATACAGTTACTCATATTTTGTATTTTAAACACGTAACGGCGGCACATGTATTCCGTTACTCCCAACACTGATTATAGTGTATCTGCAAATACAGTATAGAAGGCACAATCAGACTTTGTACAATTTCAGTGAATGTGAAAGTGAATATTGCGTGAGAGCACCTTTATTCTTCAGCACAGTCTGAACTCTCTGAGGCAGCTTTGTCATTCAAGTATCTTCAGGAACAGTTCTCCAGACTTCTCGAAGGACATTCAAAGCTCTTCTTTGGATGTTTCTGCTTTTAGTTCTGTTCTCTATCGAGATGATCCCAGACTGCTTTAATAGTGTTGAGGTCTGGGCTCTAGGGAGGCCGATCCATGACTGATATTGTTCTATCCAGGTATGCGTTTACTGCACTGATCCTGAAATTCATTCATTTGGACAAGATCTCCAACACCCAAACCCTGACAACTCACCTTGCTCATTACCACCTCATGTTGACAATGATTTGAACTGGGACGTGAAAAAAAAGGGAAAAGGGATAAAGACTCGGGTGGCATGGTGGTTAGCACTGTTGCCTCACAGCAAGAAGGTCCTGGGTTCCCGTTCCTGTTACACATGACTTTTAGGACCTTCAAGCCTGTAGTTATATTCATTATCAGTTGGAGCCACTCCGCATTCTTCTTCTTCTTTGGTGCAACCCTATAAATACAGTGCACCCCTTTGGCCTCTCCCCGCTTCTACAATTCCCCTGTGGGAGAGGTGGGTGTCATTTCTTTCCAGACACTGTACAACACACATATAATGTATATTTAGCCACCCTGATGTTTCTGATTGTGTGTCTTTAGTTCAATTATTGTCATCATTGTGCCTGACTTTGCTAGATGCTGTAAATGTAAATGTCTAGTACGTGTGTGCCACATATGTGTTATAGGCACAGTTAATGCTAGCGTGAATAGATAATTCTTGCTAGCTTGGGAGTTTTGGTGGGTGGAGCTAACCCTCTTCCCTACTTTGCATTTGGTTGTAGGAGCTGGAGTGAGTAAGTTAATTACTTGGAGGTCTTTCTTTCTTTTACCGTTCTGTCAGTGCGCCCCAGGGCAGCTGTGGCTACAACTGTAGCTGCCTCCACCAGTGTGTGAATGTGTGTGTGAATGGGTGGATGACTGGGTGTGTAAAGCGCTTTGGGGTCCCTAGGGGGGACTAGTAAAAGCGCTATACAAATGCAGACCATTTACCATTCATTATCAGGTATGTCGGATTTCGTGTTGGTGGTTTTTTTTAATCTTGTGTCAAATGTAAGTTTGTACTTCATGTTTAATGTAAAAAAATAAATGCAGGCCCTTTTCTACAATTCCCCTGTAGGAGAGGAGCTGGAGTGGGCAAGTTAATAACTTGAGGTCTTTATTTCGTTTACCTTTCTTTATCAGACACAACGCAGGAACACTGGTTACATTAGCCCCACAGACTGGTGACCTGTCCAGGGTGTACCCTGCGTCTTGCCCAGCTGGGATAGGCTCCAGTGCCCCCTGTGACCCTGAAAAGGATGGATGGAGGGAAGAAACACTCTTTTTGCCCAAAGACTTTGAAATAACTTCAAAAATCTGGAGAACTTCTGGTAAAGACTTTAAAAGATACAAAGAAGGCCTGCCTCCTAGAAGCAAAATATAAAGAAACGAGGTGTGGCTCAAATTTTTTGCACAGTACTGTAGTTGAACACGTGAACATCAGATTGCAGACATTCAAATTATTAATGCAATTTTAATAACATAAAGCCAGACAGTCATCAGAGGTCCCTACTGGTTGCAGGTACAGGTGGGTCTTTCTCGGTAAACAGTGAATGTGTTTGTCAGCCTGCTCCCACACAGCTGAATGCAGCTTATCGGCTCGGAGCTGTGAGGGACAGGTGTGTTTCAGCACCTGCCCTGTGATGGACTTTTCTTTCACGGTCATATCAAACAGCTTCTAATGACGCTCCTGTACATCTGAAACAGCTTTGTGCTGATGTGCAGTGAGCCATCGCCCAGAGCCAAACCCGTTGGTGGCTCTATCTTCGTTAGAGGAGCCCACAGCATCGCGGACACAAGCCAATATGGCGGCGTTAAACCAGAGGGGGCAGTAACGCAACTCAGAGGCACAGAGGCACCCTAAAGAAGAAATTGTTCCGGACACGTGGTGCAAAGTGGGTGTGTTCATTGCGCTGATGTAAACACAAAATACGCCTCACAGCTCGACGGATAATCGTGGTGGACTGAGCTGCTGAGGTTAACCCAGAAAGAGTCGTCGGCGGTGCGGAAAACCCTCCGTGTACGTCGCGTGTAATATGCTCTAAAGCACCGAGGGGGGCGCCATGGATTTCTACATCAACCTGAAGGTGAATTTCAGGGGAAATTCCAAGAATTTCCTGCTGTCGGGATCCGAGACCAAGAGCTGGGAGTCGATGGAGGCCATGGTAAGCAGAGACGAGCAGCAGGCCTGCTGTCAGACACGACGCCACATGGCGCTCACGCAGCACACGGAGGGATGGGGGTTCAGGGGGCCCACAGGTGCTGACAGGCACACGGGGCAAACGCTTACACCTCCGTGTGAGAGGTGCCGTGGGCCGCTGTGTGCTCACGGAGAGGATTACTCCAGCCCGAGCCGTCACGGTGAGCGGCCCAGCCCAGCGGGTGTGACGGCGACAGTGTGCGGGAAGTACCGGGAGTGCGTCACGTCGCGCAGACCTGTGTCCCAGCCCGCTTCGTGACGGGCCGCACTCATTTCGAGCAGCTCCACGGGCGGGCCGTGATCCCTGCTTAGACACTAGGCTGTTCAGGACGTGCTCGCCCCTCCAGACTGAGCCACACTGTTGTGCATGTCAGAGCGAAACACGCCGAATAATAGAAAAATCACTGTGTGACCTTTAAGGCTCTGCGTGGGTCACAGTGGGCATCGGGGAGGTAAAGGCAACGCGTCAGACAGGCCCGTACACATTCCTGCGTTTTCTGCCCAGCGGTTTAACGTCACCACCAGCAACAGCGTAGCCAATTCACCGCCATGCGCAGTGGTTCACTCCGAGTGCAGGAAGTAAACAGACGAAACAACCACACAGATACTCCACGGCTGCAGCACGCAGCAGGGCTGCAGGAGCTGTGTTTGTGTCCTCACTGCGAGCACGACACGGGCAGACGCTCCTTAAAACTAACGTTGTGCTGCTTTCCTAACGTTGCCACAGAAAATGGAAGAAATGGCAGCATTTCCACTGAGCTGGTGCATTTTAGTAACACAGTAACAGATCCGAGGACAATAACCTGGAGGATGAAAGCCAGCTGCATTTATTTATATCTGTTATCAAGTGTTGGTTTAATAATAACAATAATAATAATGGAGTGGATTTATATAGCACTTTTCAAGGCACCCAAAGCGCTTTACAATGCCACTATTCATTCACTCTCACATTCATCATAATTCAGATACACGCACAGATTTCTCTAATATTTGCCACGTGTAGGACGTCGGCGTGTGGCGTAATAACCATAGGGTAATATAGATGTGAATGACAGAGCTCAGCTCATCTGTGTACTGTGTTAAATCTGTGAGTCTGACATGCACCTCCTCACAAATGTAGCTACGCACTGCAAGGATGCAGATATCCAGAGCTGCAGTAGATCTGTTTGGCAGTGCAGAGTGAAGGAGCCCTGAGCAAGAGCCCAGTTATATATGACTGGGACTGGAAATGCAGTAAGTCAGGAACAAGAAGGTGAAACGGGCTCGGAGCCCTGCATGGTCGGCTGTACCTGGAGCACATCATCGGTGTGAGTGCTGCTGAGTCACAGACGTTTGGCTGCTGAGACTGTTGCAAAAGGTTTAGCATTCACTGTTTTTCATTTGATGCCGATCTGTGAAACAGTACGAGCTTATATGTGTTTGTGTCAAAGGCACGCACTGTGCTGCTCAGAGCATGTGAACAGCTAGCAGGAGCGTAGATGGAGGCCTGTGACCTGGTCCCTGTGACTGAGGGATCATCCTCCTGATAGTAAACATACAGGAACAACTCCTCCCTCAGTCCCTCAGCAGCTGAAGCACTCGGCACACACAGTTGTGATGTCGTCCTCATTTACAATCATGGATCTGAATGTGTTCACTCTGTGCCTGGTGTGTAAAGTATACACTTCATTTTATTGTTTTGCTATAACACCACAATAACAGTTATGTCAAGAGAGAGCACTTGTGTTACAGTGTGAGCGTAATCAGAGAGCTCGGTCCTGACAGGATGAAACCTCCGACAGCATCAGGCTCAGGGGGGGCAGCCACGGTCAGCAGGTCTGGGGAGGCCTGGGTGTGGGTGAAACACAAACTGCAGGAGGTAAATCCACAGTTTTGTTCAAACACTCATGCAGCCTAAGATGTGACTGAGGTGCAGACACTCGGTGTCAGTGCACAGAGCTCAGCTGAAGTGTTACATTAACTGAATCAAGGCAGGAAACACCATCTGGTGACGTTCGTGGGCTTTTGCTCAAGCATTGATCGAGCTGTGATTGGCTGAGTGCAAAATATGCAAAAACAATTCTTCTATGTAAAACAGTTTTAGTGTGTGACCTTTCACCCTGTAGGACTGTGTGTAAGACTGGCTTTGAACCAGAAGTAAGCAGCAGCCCTCTGTGGGTGTGTGCTGCTGTCAGCTCTGCAGGATATGATGGGCTCATCATTCAAGACCTACCAGGAATGAAGTTCAGTAGTGGATTCATAAGCAGTCAGTGTGGGGAGGCTCTCTGTTGCTACTCACTGCAGTGTTCTGGGTCAGGTCCAGATGTTTCCAGCCTAATTATAGAAAAGAATTATAACCGTCGAGTCCTGAAGTAATGACATGTTTTGAGTAGTTGTCTTGATGCATGCTCAGTCGTCCAGGTGAGCAAATCCCAAAAGGTTGATTCTGTTTTCAGTGACTGCAGGTTTCCAACCTTATAAACAGCACATTTGCATAATGACTGACACTAGCACCACTGAAGGAACAGTGGGCTGTGGGGTCAGTTTGTGACCATTGATATGCAAACTGTCATGATCATTGATCAGTGGCCACGAGTCTGAAAACGTCCAGATGAGCAGAACCAGCTTTTGGGGCCAGACCAGCTTTGCAGAGCAGCCATTCAGAGCTATTGTGTAGCACCACACGTCTGAGATTTACAGTGAAGAAGTAAATAAGAGTTGACTTTGGATGTGACAACATCTGTCTGTCTGTTACAGGTCAAGCGCTCCTTTGGCCTGTGCAGCCTGCAGCTGACCTACTTTGATGAGGAGAACGAGGAGGTAAGAGACTGAGGAGTGCCATACAAAGTGAGATTAGTGAGTAGGTACAGCTAACCTACAGCAGTAGAGGGTGGTAGCCTAGCTGAATGACTGCGGTAAGTTGTGCCTATAACACTTTGCTCACATTCTGACCAGGATTCACTAACAAGTGAGCAGCCCTGTATGAAGGAGCGATCCTTGAACTCCAGGAGTTCCTCCATGTAACGCATTCTTAGCACATATTTATGTAACCGTCTTCTCCTTTTCTTCCTCCAGGTGTCCATTAACAGCCAAGGTAAGCACACCTGGGCAGTCACATGATGCTACACATTAAACAAAGTCCAAATAAGTGCACTCATGTTAACGTTGGTCATTTCTGCTTGTGTTCCAGCTGAGTATGAGGAGGCTCTGAAGGTGAGCTCATTCACGGTTAAAGATTCAAGAAGTTTATTGTCATGTGCTCTGCAGAACGCAGATGGTTATGCAGAGCACCTGCTTACTCTGCAGGCTCCCTTCACACGACTACAAGAAAGTAATAATAGTAAAACAGTGCTTTGTGAATCCTGCAGCTTATATGTGGGTGTAAACAGAAGTTAGAGTGCGAGTAGTTGCAACACTGTCACAGTGCTAATATATACAGAGCGATATCAGGGTGTATATATGTACGAAAAGTGCAAATTTCCAGTTATGGATAAACAGTTGGACATAGGCAGTGGTTCAGTAGCCTGTGGATAGAAACTGTTAGTGTGGTGTCCTTGCTTCCACACTCCAGTTCCTTTACAGTACAGACGTGACGTGGAAAGCTTCTGTGGAGTGTTTGTTTGCTGGTGTCTTGGAGTGCTGTGTTAGCTCGTTGTGTAAGCAGCGCCTGTTTACTTTGCAACGTCAGCTAAGATGTATCGAACCCCCTCACATCCAGCTCCAGCACAGATCCCTGACCTGTGTATAGCACAGATCCACCTTCATTGATGGACAAGGCATAGAAAACAGAACTGGGTCTAACATGCAGCCCTGTGGAACTCCACAGTTATTCTTAGTGTATGAAGAAGACTCCAGATTTACGGAGGATATTTTCACGTGCCGTCCATGCTATCATCCACCATAAGCTTCTATTTCATTGTGATGTGATATGAAGGGTGTGTCTTTACCATCTGTGATTATCTCTTATATATTGAGATCATTTGGCCACATGTTTGGGTCGATAGCCACAGCTTTCCCAATCCTGATTCCAGGCTTCTCCACAACTTTGATCTGTTTAATTGATAAAGAAATAAAGTAATAATAGCCTACTGGTGTTTCTCTTCTTTCATGGTTTGTGCAGTTACATTTGACCCATGAAAATAAAGACTTCCTTATGATATAGTATCGCTGTGCTTACTGCTCTTCTTAAGTGAAGCATTTGTGTTGCCGGTGACGAATCTAGCGGAGTGGAGAAACTGACGGTGTGTTTATTTTCCAGAGTGCGGTGAGGCAGGGGAACCGACTGCACATGAATGTGTACGAAACTCGAGGCCAGCCGACGAGGGTTGCCACCACCAAGGCCAGCGGAGCAGAACCCAAGAGGGGCTTCAGGCCCCCACAGCACTGCCCTTCACTTGCTCAGGTGGTCAGTCGCAAGGTCCAGGCTGCAGTGCCAGAACAGGGCATGGTAAGAGCCCAGCACAGGCTTCATTCTTACTGCATCTATCCACTGCTGCGCCCATATGTTTGCATGCACATAGATGATGTTCTTTTGTTGCTCAGGTGATCATGAAAGAAGTAAAAGGGACCAAAGAAGAAGACAAGACTCCTCCAGCCTGGTTCACCTCCTACATGGAGAAGGTAAGAACGTCCTGATGAGTGTCATAGCAGTAACTCCGCTAAACGACTGATGACTAAAGTGCTTGCTACTGCATTCAGTTCAAGGACCAGGTAGTTCGTGAGGCAGTGGAAAAGATCTGTCGGGAGTTTTCAGGACAATGCTGCATCCACAAACCCCTGGGAGGGGGAGGAGGAGCAGCAGGAGGAGCTGGTGGAGCTGGTGGAGGTAGAGTGGAAGCTGTAGGAGGAGCAGAGACCCAGCAGGTCCCCGAGGTGTCCTCTTCCACTCTGCCTGGAGCTCCGTCCTCCTCAACTCCTCCCTGCTCGTCCTGCAGGGGGCAGACTACTGGAGGAGGCTATCAGTGCAGGTATGTGTTGTTGAGTAAGTTCAGTCTTTGGATTCTGCTTGTTGATTTATCTTTGTTGGTGAAAGACGCTGTCCCGGTGTGGCAGTAGGCCTGGGTTTAACTCTAACACTTGTCAGTGTACAAATGAATAAGCTGCAAGACGTTGTTACCAAGCAGAGCAGGGCGATATGCCCCAAAATATTTATCACGATATGCATTTGAACATTTGTGATAACGATATAATTGACACGAGACAACATGCTTTACAACTCCACAACTTTGTTAGTGCAAAAAACCATCAATGTATTTCCACTTAAACAAGCAGCTGTTTTTATCTGCATTAAAGTTATATAAACATGTAACAATGCAAATTCTTGCTGACAGTTTAACCAAAAGGCGTTTCAGTGGAAACTGGCCGACACATCCTCAGCATAACCATGTGTAACGTCCACAAAACTTAAAGAGGTCATACACACACAATACGGTAATATTATGTTGAAGCACAGTACGTATCACTCCGCGAGGCTCCGCCTACGACAGCCGTAATGCTCCGACAATCCATCAAGCGGTGCGGCTTCGTAGCT